CCTAATCTGTCAAGTAAGTCTAATATTCAACTCTTGTTGTGCCTCTTTGCCATGAAACTGGGCTTCAATGCTCTGATTATCCTATCTGATTCACGATCCTTATTCGACTTGTAGTGCCCGAAGGGTTTTCACCATCAAGCCTCTCTCATTTTGTTCTTTCTCTCAACTTACCGTCGCCTTATGGTGCCTGTGAAGGTTTTCACCAATAAGACCCTCTCATTTTTTGTTTTCCTTGTGTAGAACGGAGTGTTGCCCCTGATGTGAATCATACCTCTAACTCGCTTGACTTGGCACTACTCAAAGATTGATCGGAAGGTCTTTCTTTGGACCGTAATATAGGCTTTTGGATAGGATTAGAAAGAAAGGGTATCATAAAGGCTCAAAAACAACTTAAAGGGCTCAAAATTACAACTTTTGGAATCAGATCTCTTACAACAACCACAACTTCTGCCCCAGTTTCTTTGCTTGGGTACTTTTGAATTTTTATTTTGATGGGACCGAACCGTGAGGCTGCCTACGTATGCTTAAAGGGAATCAGTTCAAACGTAGTTCATGACATAGGAATTGCTTTGTTTTTTGTACTTTTCTCTCTCTTTTTTTCTTTTTCTCTTTTTTTTTCTTTTCTTTTCTTTTCTTTTCTTTTCTTTACTCTTTTCCCATTTTTCTTTCTCTTTTTCTCTTCTCTTTTCCTTTTTTCTCTTTTTTTTTATTCTGTATCTGTATTTCTAAACTCTGCTTCTAATTCCAAAAGAGGGATATGAAAGAAAATAAATAAGGCTCAAAGGGGGCAACAAAGGATAAAGTATTTAGATAGCAGAATAAAATGCCTTTGTCATTCCAATCTTCAAAGCATGCCAAATACAAACAACACAATTAAACAAACCAAAGAAATCATACATAACATCTTTTGACTGCATTAGAATTGATAGCCATATCCAGACATTTGCCTTCTACATCTGTTAAATACAAAGCACCATTGGAGAATACTCTCGTTACCACAAACGGCCCCTGCCAATTTGGGGCAAACTTGCCTTTAGCTTTAGCCTGATGCGGCAGGATGCGTTTCAATACTTGTTGACCCACTTCAAATTTCCGGGAACGCACCTTCTTATTGTATGCTTTTGCCATTCTCTTCTGATACAATTGACCATGACACACTGCCGCCAGTTTTTTTCTCGTCAATCAGACTTAATTGCTCCAAACGGGTTTTGACCCACTCACCATCATCAATTCAGCTTCAGCAACAATCCGAAGGGATGGAATTTCAACTTTCGTGGGTATCACTGCTTCAGTACCATATACCAACAAATAAGGAGTTGCACCTACTGAAGTGCGGTAACCCAGCAAAGCAAAAGGCAACTCTTCATGCCATTGCCTAGAACCTTGTACCATCTTTCAAAGTATCTTCTTTATGTTTTATCTGTCCTAGTTTCACACAATTCGGGCTTTAAGTGATCTCAAAATGCCTTTACTTATTTCCCTCAAATGTCCCTATTATCTTCAAAATTATTTCATTGCTTCATGACTAAACTAACTTTTAAGACCAAGCTGAGAATTACGCGTGCATGTCATGTCACTAGAATCAGCATGAAAAGACTATAAAAGGAAAAGAAAGCTAAACAAATCGACTAGAAATAACAGAAAACAGGAAATTATTGCATTAGACAGACGTTGAAAGGGTTTAAACAACAAAACAAGCAAAATACACTAGGGTTACAACCCTGGAAAAACCTAACACTGAATGAGCTATTACGACTAAATAAACTAGGCAAAATAAAAGGATAGAAGGGTTTGAGTCACAAGACAATATTCGAATTACAACCCTGAAAACAACCCGGACAACAGAAATGACAACAAAATAAACCACCAAGACTCCTCCCCAGCTAACCAAGAAAGGAGCGTCTTTCCAATTACCAAGCTCGACATCTTAGCTACTGAGTTCCACATCAATATCACCAAGACCATTACCAATTTCAACATCATTAACTTCAGTCAGCAAGTTCCCAAGAGGATTCTCATACTCCCTATCACCACGCATCATCCCCACAAAGTGTGCATTATCATGTGCAAGTAAAGGATTCTGCGTGATATTCTGGGTGTCACTGTCCTGGATCACAATTATCCCTCCTTGAATCATTCTTTCTATTTCCCTTTTCAAAGAACGACAATCTTCAATGCTATGACCTTGGACATTAGAGTGGTACATGCAACATACAGTAGGATCAAAACCTTTTGCATGTGGGTCTGGAGTATAGCCGAGGAGCGGCTCAATCAGGAGGCCAGAATGCTTTAACTTTTCAAACAAGCTTGTGTAGGACTCCCCGATTGGCGTGAAACTATTCTTTGCCTTTGTTTCCCTCCCTGCCCCTGTTTTATAGGGTTGTTGGGTGCTCGAAAATGTTGTGAAGTCAAGAGTGCATTATGTGGTGCTGGCGCTCGCCATAAGGAGTGACCCAGTGGTTGGACAGATGACCGAACATTGTTCGGAGGATGATACTGAGGTGGATTATGTGAAGCTCGGGGATAGGTTTGGGGTTGGTATTGAGGCTGAATATATTGGTGAGGCGGACCCGTTGGACCATGTCGTGATCCTGAGACAACCATGGCAACATCATCATGTTCCTTCTGACCCAACAAGCTTCCTGTGTCGTTCTGAATTGCTTGTGTTGTGGCTTTTACAGCAGAATACCTCATGGTCTTGCTCGAATTCAGCCTATCTTCTACCATTTCTCCCATTTTTACCACATCATTAAAAGCCCTACGCACAACCGAGATCAAATGCCCAAAGTAAGTTGGCTCTTGAGCTTGAAGAAAGTACTCGACCATCTCGTTTGCTTCCATCGGGGGATTGACTCTGGCAGCTTACTCTCTCCATCTGAGCCCGTATTCCCTAAAGCTTCAGTAGGCTTCTTTTCCATCTTGGTGAGGGACATGCGATCTGGGACGATTTCTATATTGTACTGAAAGTTTCGGGCAAAGGCCTGAGCCATATCGTCCCATGCGTACCACCTGTTAGCGTCTTGGCGGGTGTACCACTCCGGAGCTGCCCCACTTAGACTCTGACTGAAATATGCCATCAATAATTTGCCTTTCCCACCGGCGCCTCTCATCTTACTGTAGTAGCCTCTCAAATGAGCCACGGGATCTCCATGTCCGCCATACAAATCAAACTTTGGCATCTTAACCCCAGCATGCAGTTAGATGTCAGGAAACAAGCACAGGTCTTTGTAAGACACGCTCATCTGGCTCCCTATCCCTTGCATGTTTCTTAAAGACTGCTCTAAGATTTTAACCTTCCTGGATATCTCGTCTTGATCCACTGTCTTAGCAAGATTTTCAACTTCACCGGGAGGCTCAAAATGAGGAGCGTGAGAGTATGGATCCGAAACTTTGAAAGTTGGTTCTGGAGCATAGTGTTGGGCATCGGGGACTTTGAACACAGTCTCGTTAGAAGATCGAGGAAAAGTAGCTGGAGGAAGAGCTACAAGATCATGAGTGGCCAAAGGAGCGGGATATGAGGTGGTTTTGGCGGGTAGAGTGTGAAAAGGTTGTGGGGAGATATCAGCAGCAGTCAGAATTTGGATTTGTGACAGTGGTGGGATAGTTGCAGGGTTTTCAGTGTAGTTAGCGGGGAATGAAGGTGGAGGATGCCCCCTGATCCAAGATTGATACATTGCTACCATCTGTTGTTTCAACCTTTGGACCTCCTCTTTCCTTCAGACTCGGACTCCACAAACTCCCTCAACGGGTCAACAACTCTTGTGTCCAGGTCTTTGCTAGTCATGGCTACCTTGCTCTTTGACCTTGTGTTGTATAGATGAGTTACCTTAAGAACCACAAACCAACCACCCTTCTGCTCAATGGAGATAACAAAAAGGAACAAAATGAGGTCATCACATTAGCGTTAGGACATTTAACAGCTAAAAATCACATTGCGTGCGATGCACCTAGCAACAATTAACGGTTCAATAATGACTTCGAGCGTCACAAGGTCACTTGGCATCATCCCAATTTTGTTCATTTCAATCTTCTCTTTTCTAGCACTTCTTGGCTTGCTCATTTCCTTCTTTTTTTTTCTTTTTCTAATTATCACTCTTTTCTTTCCTCTCATTTCTCACATCCCATAGTTTCACCTCTTTTTTTTTTAATAAAAAAAATGATTCCATCGAACCCTATGTAGGTTGCCTACGTATCATGATGCCGCATGAATCAGATCTTTGCGTAGTTCGGGAAGATCGGGAATAAAGTAAACAAACTAGCGTTCTCATTTTCTTTTTCTTTTTTTCTTTTTTGTTTATTACCTTAATGACTATTCTTATGAAAAAAGAGAAATAAAAGAAGCACATCTTTTTCTTTTTCTTTTTTGAATTTTATAGACTTAATGTTCTATAACCTATTCTAAACTCAAGCTTAAACGAGAAAGTATTAAGAAAAAAAACCTAGAAGAAAAGAAATATTTTTTGATTCTTTGTTTTAGGAAGGAAATCTAAAGAATAAACCAAAGAAAAATGATTTGAATTTTCATTTGATATTCCTGAAAAAAGATTTCGAAACGAGAAACGAACAAGATAAAAAAATATTTTTGGATTTCAGTTTTTGATTACCTAAGGAAGAAACTCTAAAGATAAACAACATATAAAGTATGTTTTTTTTCTTCTATGTACAATATCCTAAAGTTCTATTGAAAATAAAAAGAATTTTTTTTAATTCGGTTTTCATTAATTTCCCAAAGAAGAACCTCAAAAGAAAATCTGTTTTTGGATTTTTAGAATTAATATCTTAAAGAAAACTTTTAAAGAGGTACTAAAAGAAAATTCTTTTTTTTTTGAATTTTTAGTCTTAATGTACTAAAAGGAAATATAAAAGCAATTTTTTATTTTGAGTTCTAGATATTAATTCAATAGAGGAAAACTACCTCAAATGATTTTATTTTAATTCCTAGAATTAGTATTCTAAAGAAAACTTCTAACGGAAATATAAAAACGCCAAATTTCTTCTTTTTTTTTGGATTTTTGATTTACAACACATTTTCCAAATACAAAATAGGAAATACAATAACAAAAGACTCGGCAAACTTAACTAGACTATGACAAACTCTAACATCACCTAAATGACTCGACATTACTATACAAATCTAAAAGGTAAAAGATGACATAAAAAAGAACAACAGACTCAAAACATAATAACTAAAAAAAATCCCCTTAAGCAAACTCCAGAATGAGCGACCCTGACTGGATGGTCCTGGGGTGTCTGTCATGCTCAAACTCCGGTAAGTAAGTCCACACCTGTATGAGAAAATTAAGACGAAATAAAGTTAAAGACCTAGAACGCTATGTGAGACAATAACCCTTCCTGTTGGACACATGCAAGACATGATTGTGACTATTTTTCTAAATTAACCTATGAGGCTAAAAGTGGCTAAAATGTAAGATTTGGCTAAGACCCCACGAAGCCAAGAACCTAAGACTCATTAGGAAGACCGGACCCTATGTGGGTTGCCTACGTATCATGCACCGAAAGACGAGAATCAGGTATGCATAGTTCGAGCAGATTGGATACGGGCGAGAAATAAAATAAAATAAAATAAAAAACAACTAATTTAGAGAAACTATATTTTTTTGTCTTTTTTGAAAAATGATGAAACATGTAAACTCTTTTTGAATTTTCTTTTTCCTTTTTTTTTAATTTTTTTTTTTTTTGAAAAATGATGAGAAAGTGCAAAATCTTTTTGGATTTTCATTTTCATTTTTTTTTGTCTTTTTCTAAAAAGAAATGTGAAAGAAAAACATAACCGGGCCCTACTTGCTTTATTTTTACACTTCAACCTCTTTTTTCTCATTTACCCTCAATCATCATTGGTCTGCCAAATGACCATTTTACCCTTGAAGAATGCAACATGTAGCACATAGGATGCATCAGGATGGTCTATTATTTTTGGGTACACCTGTCCTAGACGGACCCAACCCCTGTGTTGAGTCCCCTAAGCCAAATGCACATGATGCAAACAAACGTTCCTACTAGGGATCCGGCATGAGGCTATGTTATTCTAGGTTTACAACCTGAGTGTATTGTTCTAGACCTGGCTTACCCGAGCGGACAACTCGAGCCGAGGGGGGCAGCGTAGCGGGAAGACAGAAGCTTCACCGGCTTTGCAACTTGTCCGAACCTCGTTCTAAAATTGGGATATGACTCTAACAGAAATGAAGTCACACGAAGTGCACACTTCCTAGATGATTTAGAAGATTCAGAGAGAAGAGGGTTTCGTAACAATTTATACACAGTCCAAGCAATATAAAAGCGGTAAAAAGCGAGATTTAGCACATTAAGCTCAAACACATAAAAATCAGATAATAAATAAAAGCCAAATATAACAGTTATTCTAAGCTTGAATTCTGAACCATGAACCAGAGATTCTGGGTTCTTTTCCCCAGCAGAGTCGCCAGAGCTGTCACACCTCCTTTTTACCACCCCGAGAGGGATACAAGGGAGTTTTTTCCAATATAAGTGACAATCGAAACGGGATTATTTGTATCAAATTCAGAGTCGCCACTTGGTATAATTTGTGGTGTCCCAAGTCACCGGTTTAGAATTCCGAGTCGAGGAAGTTGACTCTTATTTATGGTCTGCAAATACAGAAATCAGGGTAAGGAATTTTGTTAACTTGGGAGAAGGTGTTAAGTCATTCTCAGGTTCCGTGATTTTAGCACGATCGCTCAACTATTAATAATTGGCCTAATTATCTGATTAATTATATATTTTAAACCTACGTGCATTTTTTTAAACTTTCTAACCGCTTTAATGTTGTTTAGAAAAATTCATGATCACCATACACTTGTTTGTTTTTGAAAACACATCGTAAACTACGCTACATGAAATACACCCGCGGTTCACGGTATATTTATATTTTATTGAACATTATTGAAAATTGAAGTCGGGTCACATGAAATGTACACCCGGATTTAGAAATTATATATCGCAACTACGTCACAGGAACCGTACCCGTAGCTGTGATAATTTTATTATAGCGCGCGTAAAGCAAAGTACGAAGGTTCAAGTTTAACGGTCTAGGCATGCTCCTAACGATTCATTATGTGGAAGAGATGAAATGATATAACATCTATTCAATAACCTTGATAACACCAAAAGAAACAATTTCTCTTCTACAATTGAACTAAGTCTAAACTTTAATTTTCCTTTGGCTATATTGTTCAACAACATATAATTCATGTATATCTTAACCAACTTATATGAACAAAATCAACCAAACATAATTCATGTAAATCTTAACCAACTGATATGAACAAAACTAACCAAACAGATGTCATGAATCTCAGAATCATATGCCAAACATAACATTTCAAGTCTAGAAGAAAACAGAAAGAACAAAGAGTTAAAAGAATTAGACCTCACGAATGAAGTTCAAAACAACGAATCCAGTCCGAACGGAAACGACGGGCCGCACCTCGGACGACAACTCCAACGATCGAACACCTGTTTCAACTCCAAACCATTTCGGAAAACCAATACTAAGATGTAGAATTACAGCAGAAGTGCAAAATAAAGGCCAAAAAGAAACACGAGGAGTTCGGCAAATCCAGATTCAGCAGAAATCAGCAGTAAACCATGGCTTTTCAAGCTCACCAACAAATTTTAAAGCCTAGAAAATCGAGAAGCCTAGCAACGAAAACCCCGATTACGACTTTCGACGAACTCGGAACTCGCCCGAAATTAAAACGTCAAACAATGACTGAAGATGGTCTCAAAGGAACAAAGGACAGTATTTCCAAACAGAATGAAGGGAACAGAAAGGAATATGCAAATCGCTGAAAAAAACTCAACCAAAGCACAACATAGCCAGAAACTGATAAACGGGGCAGAAGAGCATAGCAAATCGCTGAAAAAACATTTTCCGACGAAAGCACACACAAACGAAGCCACGCCGGCCTGAGACTATCATTCTCAAAAACACTACTTCAGCGACTAAACAGAGCAGCGGCTGTGAGGAGAAGAGAGGGAGAGGAAGGGGGTAGTGCGCGACAGTAACGAGAGGAGAGAGACAGCAGCAACGCCGGTGGCCGCTAACTCGCCGGATTCCGGCATTTGGTGGTAAGGGAGCGACGGGTCGAAGGAGGGTTGACGGCTTGGGAGTGTTTGGTCACTAGGGTTTTTGTTTTAAGGAAGACCATCAAGCTTAGGGTTTGTGTGTTTATGGCTGCTGCTGCAGCTTCTACTCTCTAGGGTTTTTTGGTTGTGTTCCTTATGAAGATGAAGGGTCCCTTCCTTTGTGTCAAAAACGGCTCTCCTAGTTTTTTAGGATCTTTAGGTTTTTAAGGGTATTAGGGGTTAGCTTAGTGGGTATTGGGCTTGGGTTGTTATGGGCTAGGTCCGAAAATTAGGCCTAAAAATGGATCGTTTGAGCCTAAATTTTATTCTTTCTCCGTGAACAAGACTAAAATACTACCTTATTTACTAATTAATCCTACTTAAATAAAATAACTATTAAAATAAGACTAACCGTTAAAACAAACCTATTTTTTTGGTATTTTTCAATTTTATGATAAAATAAAGTAAAAGAGTCAAAACTAATTGAAATAGCAATATTAGGCCTAAACTAAAAATTTAAATGCTAAAATATGTAAAATCTTGGGGAGGGTCAAAAATCACATGTCTACAACTGGTATTAACAAAGAAAGTTAGGGCTTACCCGATTCAAAGCATGTTGGGCCTCATTGAAGAGACACAAAAGTGGTATCACAGCAGTTCTGTCCTAGAGAGTCTACAAGTCGTGTCTAGTAGAGTCTTGTTTATGGGTGTGTCGTGAACCACACTTATATGCGGGAGGCTATATGGTATTTAGGACTGTCACTCTTTCTTCTTACTCTAGATCGTGTGGTAGAGCTCACTTATAAGAATTCAAATTCCTAACTTCTATTTTTTTCGTAATTAGACGATACTTACATCCAAAAAGACAGTTAGTAAGAGATTGAATGTGGTTATGGAAGAGTTGAGTCAGAGGAACACGATTTTTCATGATGCTTATGATGAGTAAATGTAAGGTCTTCAGTAGATCGTGTGTGTACTAAGATGTGTAAGCCTCTTGATAAGGAGCCTTAAGGCAAGAATATCTATCCACCCCTATGGTGAAAGTCAATTAGAGATTCAGAAGATAGATATAAGTTTCAACAAGTAAAAGAAGCAAGATAAAGAAGGGTACGAGGCGCCCAGTTAATGAAGATTATCAATATTTACAAATTCAGACAGAGGAATATAAGATTTTTTGAGTTACCTTCAACAATAACAGAGGTACGTACAAACTGACACACCCATCTAATTTATGTCCTATGGAAACTAACAGAAATAGTATAAAAGAAGGACGGGATATCAGGATCCGGCTGGGGTTAGAGTAACCCAAAATGGTGAGTGAATTGTTTGTGTTAGTTGACATTTCCGAAAGATAGTGCAAATGTGCTAATAGATCTCCTTGTGAGACACCCAGATAATGCACTCTAAAATAATACAGCTAGATATGAGTACTACAAAGATAGGCACTGGATGTCTGGAAGGGATAAATATTACCTTAGTGTGGCTCCCGTCCCTAGTAGAGAGAGAATGTTAGGTGACCCGAAGAGCCAGTGGATGGAGCAAGGGGAGCCAAAAGCAAAAAGAATGTCTTGTTGAGGTTTTCACAATGAAGTGATAGACAGAAATGTTAGCGGGAAATAAGAAGAGAGTTAATGAAGCATTATGAGTAAGAGGTGATACATGGATGACAACGGTAGAAAAAAAATGAAGACAGTATTACAAAGTCTATAGTCAAGTGAAGGAAAATAAGAGAGGTGACATGCCTTGAGACCACAAAAGAGTATAGGCTATACAGTCATATCCTCATTTCGAGAAATAAGTTCGTGACTCCAACGTGACTACCAAAAGGACAAGTTAGACCCCAGTATGGGCTAGTGAACAAGATAAACTAAACATGAATTAGAGTGATTTGATAATAGTCGGCATCACGAGAATTTCAGAGATTACGTTCCGGCGATAATAGAATGAACGACAGAAGAATAAAGGTCATTCAGGAAGACGCTTCCCTAATGCAAGCAATGTGATCAAAGTTTAGCTTAAGGGGTTATGTGTGCCAGTTATACTAGGTGTCACCCTCGTGAGTAAGAAATTTCGTTATCCTTGGTACAGAAGGATTTTCGCAAGGCAAGGATCATCGATGATGTGAAAAGACGCCAAAGATGAAGAGGTAAAACATCTATACGTAGATAATCGTAGCACTAAATCTTAGTATTCTCCTAAAGGGGGAATATGGAGTGATGTGGCAGTAAGTCGGAATTAAGTGGTTCTAGTAATTATGGAATGATAAAGGAAGAATGCGATAAAAATGAGAAAGGAATGAGATTGTACTTATCCAAATCCTACCGATATTTTACGATTCCAAACCATTATGCAAGTACGACGTCAAAGAGAGGAAAGTGTGAGAGGTAAGTTAAGACAAAGGAAATAACCCAAGAACGATTATGCAGAATATTGATATAAGAATGGGTCAACGAATAGTTAGTAGTTGATTCAAGAAGAGCCTAGTTATGGCTAGACAAGAAGATACGGACAAATCAATAGATCGTGCAAGATAAATATAGTAAATCCCAACATGGGGAATTCAGTCTCGCAAATATGACATCGTGGCCCTTGAGAAATATTCAGATAAGAGTTGTGGTACTTAAAGATACAGTATGAGTATTACGGAAATAAAAGAGAATTCCACGGGGAAGATAGTCAAAATATCAGTTCAGAAGCAACCCTACAAGCACAAAGGCGTGGAAGTAAGTAACTACAGATAATTATAGGCAAGGAAGGACATAAAAAGGTCCATCGAATATACAATATCGTAAGCTCACAGCTTTACAAGAGTCAGAGGATCCTCCCTAAATACTACAATGAAAGACTAGCTGAGGAAGTAAGGAAGAAGGCTTCAACCTAAGCTCAGTATCCTAAGGAGGAAATGGTCTTATAACAACAGTCTAACAACAACATAGTATGCACTCCATAAGAAAATGACGCCTACCGTGGCTAATAAATAGGAAGTAAAATCAGAAGTGATATTCAAGATCACATGAGTTGTATGGAATTCCAGTGTGTGTGGGAACTAAGGTAAGCTAGTATGCACGCAACAAGGGGGCAAAAAGACCAGGAAAAGTAATTGCCTACATTTTAAAAAAAAAAAGCTAAGAAGGAACGAAAAGAATTATTCGATAAATGACCCAGAGTACGTTATGAACGCATTTAAGAGTTCGGAGTATTATCCATGCATCATATATGTTGAAAATCATACAGTCGTAGAAGATTTCGGTATAAGTTAAAAGAAAGAATTGAGCCCAGGTCATAGACAAAGGATTGAATTTTAAGAAGATTGTATCATGGATATTCCATAGCGTCCATGAGGGGCTAAAGTAATAACTAATAACATGAGCTGCAGATTGGAAGATAGCTAAGGCCTACATAAAGGTTGATCAGAGGGAAGAGGAAACTAAAGAGTTTCAACTAAGTAAATCAGGAGTCTGATTATTAGACCCAAAGAATTATAGACATCATGATTGAGAACATTGCAGAATCACTCTTAATATCAGAGGTACAAGAGAGACAGTACAGTAGCCATATTCTATAACGAATCCACGATAAAGCCAGTTAGAAGAGTACCAGCCTCATAAAAAGTCAATATGAAGCTCTCACCGAATCATGTAAAGAGGTTAAAGTATCATAATAGAAGTTCAAGTTGTGGACGTAAATCGTACCTGTGTGGAAGGGAAGTTATGAAAGAGATAGAAGATGTGATGTGAGATTTTAAAGCAAGTAAGGTAAAGGTAAACAACGTACAAGATACTCAAGTGCAGAAGGTTGTGAATAGTCCATACTTCGGATAGAAGGCTAGAAGCGTTGGGATTCAGTATCCAGGAAGGATGGCGGTATCATTAGTGGCATGTCTTCCAGCCAATGGTTTCTAAGTATCGAGAAGTCTGATTAAGAGAATAAAGAAGAGTTAGAGATGATGTGATGTCTCGCTTGATGTTCCAGAATGACATAAGAAAATCTATGATGCAAGCAAGTTGAAAGGTTGCGAATAGTACAAATAAATACGTATAGGTCGTGAGCTAAAGTATAGTAAAGCAACAAGGTTTTATGACAGGAGTAAGGATGAGAAAGGGGGAGTGAGAAGGTGACGAGAATGGATAAGTCCTCGAGATTAAGCCCATAAAAACAAGAGAGCTAATGGTTTCTCTAAGTTAATTTCAGTATAGCCTGAATGAACTCAAAGGAATCTAAGACTAATAGCATCTAGAAGAAATGGAATGATGCCCTGGTAGTAGAATAAGGGTGTAATTATGATAGATAAAGGATGACGTTTGGGCCTTCGTTTGAGTAATGATTTGAAGAAGAAAAGAAAGGGATTTCAGGAATTGTATAGGATTAAATACCCACGTATGATGAATTATAGGTGAAATACGGTTATGAAAGCATGGTATCGCCCCAGGTGGATCAGTCTAATCATTTTAGATGTTTCTCGATGAGACGTGAGACCTAGTGATTACGTGAGAAGTTTCAAGTTATTAGTGGTAAATTATAGATCAATATTGAGGTGAATCAACAATGGATGGACAAAAGTTACAAAGTATGAGATGAGATTAGGCCGTCATTCTTAAGATGAATAGTAATGAGGAAACATTAAAGGACTTAGACTTATACATATAGGATAAGCAACGAGAGTAACCTGGAGTTTGGTAGCATACCTCAGTAACGATAAATCGAGGTAAGAATTATGGTATATTATGACCAGCTTAGATGCAGTAAAGTTATGCGGATAGATAACCGGGCCTATGAAATAAGATATAACAATATTCGTAAGTTCAACAAAGTACCGAGCAAAGAACTTCACCATACCTATAGATGCCCAGAGGGACATCTTGTCAAGCTCGGCATATGTTTGCAAGTGAGGCCTAGAGATGGGCTAAAAGCTGGAGGAAAATAGGGAGAAGAGTCGCGTAGGCGCACTTACAAGGTCAGAGTCGTACATGCTGCATGATAGAAGGTAGCAGTAGTTACGAGATTGGAAGGATTCCGACCACAAGTCGTGGTATGAGAAAGAGGCCAAAAGGGGGGAATGCCTTGGCCTTTGGATTTATTCACAGAACAGTTGCCTAGATGACAAGAAGAGTGCTAATGTATTTGGAAGACATAGGTTATAAAGTGCATTAGTCAACATTCGAGGACGAATGTTCCAAAGGGGGGAATGATGTTACACTCCATGTTTTTGTACGTGGAAGTATGCCATCAGTAAATTGATGTAAGCTCGGAAATGAGATGTTACATCTCAATCCCGCATTTTTGTACGTCAAAGTTTCGACATAAGTTAATCGATCCAGACTCGGGAATGAGATTATTTTTGAGGTTATAAGCATTTATGCTATTTATAACGGGCGATAAGCAAGTGCCGTGAAGAATGAAGGGCAAACGAATCAAAGAAAATGAGTTTCTCTGAAGGTTGTCAATTTGGGATAAAATGCGCTCCGTGCTATAACACCCGACATTTATGGACTAGTGCCATACAAGGTACCACATGACCATGATAATAGAGTACATAAGTTGTGTTACAAGTGAGTAGTATTTTAAGTAATTTGAGATAATTCTTAATTATGCGAGTAATTGGTTAATAGAAGAATTAATAAGTTAATTAGTAATTAGTGGATGATTAATTAGGACCTTGGATAAGACAAGGGAATCCTTAACGTGGCAGCCAACAAAATCACCAAATTTGACTCTTAAAAGAGATTGAAAGGTGGCACATTTAATGGAGATTGTCACACCTACTTTTTACACACACCACCCCGAAAAGGATAGTGTATAAGGGAGTTTTTCCACTTTAAGTGACATTATTCGAAATAAGATTATTTATTGATCAAAGTCGCCACTTGGGATAGTTTATTTGGTGTCCCAAGTCACCGGTTTGTTTTCAATCCCAAATCGAGGAAAATTTTGACTTTCCTTGTGAAGTCTGCGAACCAGAAATTTTGACTAAGGAATTCTGTTAACCTGGGGAAGGTGTTAGGCACCCCCGGATTCCGTGGTTCTAGCACGGTCGCTTAAACTATTACAATTGGCCTATTATCTGATTTTAATACATGTTCCAACCTATGGTGCAATTTTAAACTTTAAACCGTTTTTATTCGTTTTTAGGAAGATTTCAACGTTATACAAAACACGTCTTTGGATCACGCCAGATGAAATGCACCCGCGATCCGCGATATATTTTATTTAACGTTGTTAGGATTTGGATTCGGGTCACATGAAATGCACACCCGGGTTTAGGAAGGTAAATTATTAAAATAACGCGCCTAAAGCAACTACGCGTTTGCAACTTTGCGAGGGCCATGAAAATTCGCTAAATGACACGTCTCGATTTCTAAGGATAAACAAGATTAATTAAATGAAGGCCGTGCAACTGAGATTTTTGTTTGGCATGGCACGCCTCAATCATGGCCAGAAAAAGTTTTTTAACAATCCATTTGCAGCTTAAACTCAAAAAAATGATGGCAAAAGCAAAGTCAAGTAGAGTCACACAACTAAATTCAGATATACATAAAAATTGTGTTTAACATTTCTTCAAAGTACAACAAATATTCGCGGATATAGTTTAGCTATATATATTGATTTCAATCCGCTTAGATCACCGAATACGCCACTGGTCATTTTCAAGTTCCAACGAGAAACTCTCATTTGCATCCTGACATTTATGTGCAATTTACCTAAAACTAGGTGAGCAAGAAAAAATTATAAAAGAAAGTGCCAATGCTTTAATTTCCAACACCAATCAATGAGGTTGCTGTTCCAACATAATTTTTGACTAGAAAGTCCAAAACACTAATTATCCAATTTCAGAAACTGTTTGAAGGGCATATAACTCACAACCTCATGGCAGCACTTTCAACTTTACAAGAATAACAAATAATTATAAAGTTGGCATTGCTCCGTTCTTTATATTAGCTCAAAAATGTCTATAATCAAACATAGTTCAATAAACCAATTTCGCATTGCAGTACAAATTATTGAAAGTAACTTCTTCAAAATTGTCTCCAACCAAACAAATAAAATAAATAAATAAATAAAAAATCACAGCAACCTAATGAACAAATTCAGAATGTATACCCCATCATATGAAACAACTAAATCTTAACAAAAGTAGGAATATATCCTCAAGCAAGTATAGGATTATAAACAAAGGCAAAATTGAGTTACACATCAATCTCACAAATCAGCACGACAAAATGAGATTCTGTGTGTACCTTAAATGCAAGGGGGAAAGCAGAACGACAAAAGCCAAATAAAGGTAAGGAGAAGAAGCAGGAAACTCGGCGCACAGGGACAACAACAAACAGCAAATTCTTATACCAACACAGCTCGAGAATCTCAGAAATTAAGCAACAACTGAGCTCGGACAGCTATATAAACGAAGACTCGAACGCAACCTCAAACTTTGACCTCTGGCTTTACCCGGAATCTCAAGACAGAAAGAAAACAGATCGGTAAGGAGGGAGCCAATCTTCACATGATTTTTGGGACTATTTCAAGATTGTTTCATGGCTGAAGTTTGTGACGGATTTTTCAGTTGTGATTTTCGGAGTTTTGGAGCTAGAATTTGGGTATTTACATGGCTGAGAAGAGAGTGTTTCTGGGCTAAAGTGAGGAAGAAGAAGAAGAGGGGTCTGTTGAGTAAGACACCGTTCTCTTAGAGAAATCGGAGGAGGAAGGTCTTGTTCTGCGTTTTATTTTTTGGAAAGCAGCAGCTGGAGCGCCGTTTCTAGCTCTTAGGGAATCTGAGGGTAAGATAGGTACTATCATATAAGGGTGGGAATTAGGTTAGAGGTATGGGCTTGATAATTATGGGCTAGGTAGGAAAATTTGGGCCTAATTTGGGTATAAGAACTAACTCAATATTCAATTAAATCTTTTCTTCAAATTCTTTTTCTTTTTCTTTAATTAAAAACCCTAAAATTAAAATCCTAGGTTATCTAAAAATGTGAAATTAAACTAATTACAAAAATTATAAAAGCTATTTAATCCTAAATTATAAGAGAAAAAAATCAATAAAAGGAAAAAGTGTAAAAATGAAGCAATTTTTGTGATTTTCAATTTATTATAAAACAAGTAACTACAGATTGATCCTACGAATGTAAAAATAAAGCCTAAATGACATGCATGATATTTTTGGTATTTTTTCATGATTTAAATAAAACTCAACCATGCACAAAATGCAAATAATTAAATAAAATTCTACAAAAATTTCTAAAATGACCAATAATTAACAAAAAATCTATTTTCTTGGAATTTTATAGGAGTATTTCGTATAGGGCAAAAATCACGTGCTTACAGAGATAAATGACAAAAAGTCTTGACAGGTGGGGCCCACACCACCCAGACTTAAAATCCTTCTCCAATTCACAAATGGAAATGTATTACGTCTAGATTAAAGAGAGAGGTTTCAGCAAGATGAAATTTTATTAGCAACGTGAGTTGCTTCAATTTTTCACTCAAACAAGATTTCTAAATATTATAGCAACGTGGGATTTGCGATTCTAAGGGAGTACGACGTAATCTTCCTCAAGAATATCATACTTATTTTTTCCTACTCTGATCTTGCCATCACGTGTTTTGTCGATTTTCGTGTGTTAGAGGGATTGTCAAGAGAGTCGGTTCAGGTATGTTAAGGCTATCCCTTTTTCCTTTGGCATGATCCATAAAATACAAAAGAACGAGAAAATGCAAACTTCCAAGATGACTCTATTCATGAAATGCTAGAGATTCTTATATTCTTGATTCCCCATGTGTCCTATTATTCTCTCATCTATTCAGTGGTTCAGAAAATATGCAAGTTGATAAATATTACTTCATGATATTAATCAAAGGCATAATGGTCTTATGACACTCCTGAAAGGTATTATTGGCGTACTTTTCATGCATTGCATTCATTTATACATGTACATTGACCCATGACAAGATGGCGTTATATACGCGTATATATGTGTGTGTGTGTGTGTATGTATGTATGTATGTTGATGTATGTATATATATATATATATATATATATATATAATATATATATATATATATATATATATTATAATATGTATATGGGATATGGGAAAAGGTTACGTGTTATATTACGCACCACCACCTGATCAGCTGGTATACATTGATGATTTTACCCAAAGTTGGCCGAGAAGATATGATGGGATGCCTCAGAGTCTTGATGATGTTATGAACACGACATGACATTCATATGCATATGCATAACACTAAAAGTATTTCATAATTTGCAGAGTTATCCAGACTTACATGTCATGTTCTTTTACTTCATGTTTCTCTCATGTCTATTATTTACTGATTTTCATTCCTTACAATACTCGTACATATTTGTACTGACGTCCCTTTTTCCTGGGGACACTGCGTTTCATGCCTGTAGGTTCCGATAGACAGGTTGAGTGTTGGTGGCTCTTTTGCTTCTGGAGTTGCCTATAGTGTCGATGCATTGGACACGTATTGATTGGTATGTCGGGCACTGTCCCAGCCTTAAGACGGTTATGTACTCTTTAGAGGCTTGTAGAACATATGTCATGTACGTAAAAGATTGTATGGCCCTTGACGGACCTATTTTAGTGTAATCGAGTTCATTTTGGTCTTATAGGCCCGCATTTCATATGTATAACTATTGGTATTAGCATGTTTTTATTAGTTATCCTATGGCAGCCTTTCTGTCCATTTACTTATGAAGCATAATACGAAAGATACGTTATGTTGCTATTCGGTTTGAGTAAGGTCCGGATGCCCATCGGCCCGTCGGTTTGGGTCGTGACAGGTGTGAGCACGTGATTTTTGCACGCTTAATTTACTCCTATAATTCATTAAATTAGAATTTTTTCTTTTATATTTGAATTTTAGGAATTATTGCATGATTTTTGTGTCTTCGTTTGCATTTTCCGTCGTGCATTTTAACTTGCTATAATTTAAAAATACAAAATAGTACGTTTGCATTTAGAATTAGATTTTATATTTTAATCAATTTAATATTACTAAATAAGAGAAAAATACCAAAAATAATAATAAATCTTTTTACATTTTTTGTTCTTTTAATTTCACTTTTGCTTAATTTTTCTTTAAATTAGGATTTAGTTCCTTTTTGGAAATTAATTAGTTTGGGATTTTAACTTAGATTTGTTAATTTTGAAAAGAAAATAAATAGAGATAAACATAAAAAAGAGAACAAAGAAAAGAAATGGGTTATTTTTGTTGGGCCAGTTTCTGAAATGAGCAAGCAGCCCAAACAACCAAAAAAACCGGACCAAATCACCCCATGCCCAGGCCAATCTATTCCTGACCGATCCAGTCCTTTCCATGACAAAACGACGTCATTTGACGTCGTTTGATACCACCGTCATTTCCCATATCCACGGCTCAATTATCTCATTTACATAAATTGTCCGATTACTTAGAAATTTTGAGACCAAACTTTCCTTCTCGTACAAACTAAGCTCCGCCGTCCTCCACTCTAC